GGGCGAGAGAGAGAGAGAGAATTAATGGAATACTGTTTATTCTACGTGTTTCCGAAACCATCCCATTAAAACTGAACGTCAAAGTAATTTTCCTTGTCAGATTCAGTTTGTTTGTGATACTTTACGGCCAAGGTGCAAATGCTGCTCTGATCACAGGGCTGGTCTGTCAAATGTGCAATAAACCACAAAACAATATCGTTCGCCAGTCATGGTCTGATTGTCTTAAATGGCTTTTATCATAGAAAGAAAATAAACTGCCGAAACATGTTATAACAATTGGTACTTGGTTACAGTGTCATTTTTATAATGTCTGCCTTATTTCACCCAGTAACGCATTAAAAAGGAAATGTACATTCTGATGCACTTTTCTGATTAGGAAAGCTCTCATTTGTCTTATTTGACCAGTTTTTAAGTTTTGGTTACTCAATAATATGAACAATAATCAAATCACAAGCAGACGAAGATTGTTTAGCAGATGTTGACCTTAGTGTGCATGTGTGTGTGTCTGTGTGTGTTCCCTCAGATTGTGGTGATCCCTCAGAAGACTTGGGGAGTCTTTTTTCAAATCCAAGTTGACAAGAATGTCATGCATGAACTGTTAACTTATTGTTCTGTGAATAACGTGGCGGAAAAGCGACTAAAAATACATTATGGAAATAACACAGGGGCACGCTGACTTTTTTCCCTCTAAACAGCAACAGTGAAAATAAATTAATACCAGCCAATTTCCAAGAGTCCAAAGTGACATTTTCAAGTCGCTTGAGTTGTCTTGCAGGCAGCAATCAAAAACTAGAAGATGCGCTGTGTACTATTAAAAAAAAAAAAGCAACGACAGAAATGCTGCAAATTCTTGCAAGAGAAAAGCAGTTTGACCGTTTTATTTTTTGCAGTAAAACTGCAAAATATCTGCCATTCTGCTAATAAATGTAACCACTAATCTCCAGTTCTACTCAGGATTTTTAGAATTTGCTCTTCATCTATAGAAATGTATTATTGTTGAGCACTACAGGTGAATCTCAGTGAATTTTAACCATGCATGCTCAGTCATCCTTACCTGAATGATTGAGCATGCATACAACCAGTTAATAAGCTCAAAGACCCTTAACAAGAATTGTACCTGATGTGAATTGCTTTAAATAAAGAATGAGTCTACCATGGTGCTCCTTACCCTCGTGCTGATTAGGAAAATGGATTTTACTGTGGCGCCTTTTTAATCCACTCTGTAATAAGTCAGCTGTTTGCACATGTGATTTTGTAAATTGTTGCTTGTTTATAGGTGAAGTAGCTTCAATATAGCAATATCGTTCATTTGGAGCCACATTTGGAGCTTCCTTGAAACTTTTAATTAAATCATTCAGACATTTTTTCCTTTGTGCGAGCTCCCGTGGGAACTTTTTATACAAAGCCAATTGCAAAAACGTTGGGAAAATGTTTCCAAAAATGTAATTAAAAACAAAATCCAGGAACATATCAGCCTATTTTAAATTTCATGACTGTGTGTTTCATGTGGGTTTTTACAAACTTTAGACAGGGTCATGTTTACCACTGTGTAGCATTCACTCTTCTTTTAACAACATAGACATTTGGGAACTAAGGAGACCAGCTGCTTGACTTTTGGGAGAGAAATGTTATCCTATTCGTGTCCAATACAGGATTATAGCTCCTGGAGTTTCTTTGATGTGTTTTCCTTTTCATCATGCTCCAAATGTTTTCGGTTGGTGAAAGGTCTGGACTGCAGGCAGGCCAGTTCCTCACTCTTAACTCTTCTGGTATGAAGACACGCTGTTGTGATAGATGCAGTGTGCAGTTTAGCATTGTTTTTCTCAAATATGCAAAGCCTTCCCAGAAAAGTCCCCACACTATCAGAGATGCAGGCTTGTTAAAAAGCTGGATGGCCAATCTTTGTCCAGAAGACAATTTGTTTATGTTTTCCAAAAGCGATTTCAAATTTTGAGCACAGAGCAGTATTTCACTCTGCCTAAGTCCATTTTAAGTGAACCTAGCAGCATGATCTTTATATAAGGCTTCTTCTTTGCATGACAGAACTTTAACCTGCATTTGTGGATGGCATGGAGATTTGTGTTCACGGGACTGGGATTTCTGGAATTGTTCCTGCACCCGTGCAGTCATGTCCATGTTTTCAATGTAGTGCTGCCTGAGGGGCCAAAGATCACTGACATCCAATACTGACTTTCAGCTTTGTCCCTTGTGTATACAGAGATTTCTCCAGGTTCAAAACACTAGAAGTATTTGCAATTTTACATTGGGAAACATTATTTTGAAATTATTCCAAAATATTATTCCGTAAAATTGTAGGTTTTTTTTTTCCTTTTTTTTTTCCTTTTTTTTTTAAGAGTGATGAACCTCTGCCTCTTTAAGATGCTCTTTTTATACCCAGCCATCTTACTGGCCTGTTAGACATTTGAGAAGTTTTCTATGTTCTGTTACGATTGAATAAAATACATGCTTGTGAGATTTAGAAATCAATGCATTCTGTTGTTTACATTTTACACTGTCTTTAAACTTTTTGGGAACTGGGTTTGTAATACACTGTATTACTGTTTGCCTTTCAATGACACAGACAGGAAACATCCAGGAAGAAACCACTTCTGGCATCAGCCTCAAATCCTGAAGGAACTAGAGATTTTCTTGGAAATATGGCCATCCTTTTTGATCTCAGCTACACATCTGCAGAGTGTTATTACTGCATCCTGCACAGCTTGACATTACTGTGTTAGCAAGTAGGCACCGACAGAAATCAAGACGGACCTTTGCTGAAGCATGCTAAATCTTTGAATTGGACATATGGCTGCGTTGTGTCAAAGTCATTTGTTTACAGTCTTTGTAATTAGTTTATTGCTATCAAATGCAGCAGGTTAAATTGGCAGCATATTTGTTTCACGATGCTGTTAAGCTACTTGAAAGGTTACTCGCATCCATCTAACTTTACAGCAATCTGCCGCCCCTGCCTTGAATGTCAGGCAGCCCTTGTTTAAATCCAGTTTGCTGCCTTCACCTGACATATTTCATAACGTGGACAGACTTTTTTTTGTCTTTTTTTTAATGCATTTACAGCATGTTCTGCTTGTAGAGCGTTTCCTTGTGGACAGTGATTGCTTCCATGTCAGAGAGTAAAGTCTTTTTTTCCTGTCTAGTGTTTGCCTTTCTTCTTCTCTCCTGACAGCCTTGCCGTTGGTTTTGTGCTCCGTTACCCTGAGCTGTGTTGGAAAATGAAATGCTCATGGGTTTATCGAGCTCTTCCGGCAGCAGCGGCAAGGCGGGTGAAAGGCGTAGATGAGGACAGGTCAAGGTGGAATAACTCCGTACTTTCTGCTCCTGCCAGATTTTCAGATCCTCACAAGTGCAACTCGACACTCGGCGTGCCTCCCGGTGAACAGTAACTGGCAGAATGGAGTGCACTCACATCTCAACAGACATTCAATTTGGGCGTGATTCAATTGCATGTGACCTCTGAATGCTCAAAATAATTGTTCTTTTAAAGGTCAGGCGCAAAACAAGCAAAGCAAACAGACACAAGAGTATTTCAGTGTAATAAAACATATCATTTGTGTGCATGCTATTAATATTTTGGATATTGTGTGCCCGCAAAGGGCCTGGCAAACAGACTTAAATGTGTTTTTTAGACCTTAAGAATTCAACAACATTCGTTTTGGTGACAATAATGAATGTAAAATCCCATTAGACGGCTCTAACTTTAACAGATGCCTGTGTTTTGGTACCAGGCTTTAGGGGGCTTAATGACAAATTGCAAAAAAAATAAAAAAAATAAAAAGAATGGTCACAATCAAAAGCAACAGAAGCCTTTTAGCCCTCGTTTGTGTCCCACTGACTCACAGAGGATGTATTCAGGCTGCACAGAATTCATGCATGCTGCTGTTCCATGCAAATCTCTGCTGGAGGTGAAGCTTTTTTCTTGATTTTCTTGATATCAGAGCACAGGTTTTGTAGGGCTTTCCAATGAGTAGAACGTGCCTATTTTTATGAATTAGAAACACTGCATCTGGCTCTTAGCTCTTCCTGAAATGAACTGGGCATGCTTGAGAGCACTTTTTTTTTTGCAAGGGGAAGGATAGATTTCAAGCATCATTGCTCTATCAGATATTGGCAAAAAGGAAAAGGCTGTTATCAGTTATTGAGAATTTCAAGAGTTAGGGCTGGAAGTAATGCAGTCTTTTCATTACTTTTATTGCTGAACTATTACAGACAGTTGCCAAGCCACAGCTTTACGAACATCTTGAGGTAATGTGTGTGACGACTGGTGTAAGACTCACAATATATTGGCTTTTTAACACACTGAATGGTGAATTTGAGGAACCAGCTATCTAACAGTAGCTATTAGCCTGTTAGTCAGACATTGCCTAAGATGGGTTTTTTTAAGTAATTTGAATTTTACCATGCATGACCATTGTGGTGGCTTCTGTGTGAGAGATCTTATCTCTTCTTCTTCTTCCCTTGTAATTAAACCTAACAGGGTGAATCCAGGTAATATTTAATATCAATCAGGTTTCTTGGAACTCATTTTCCAAAGTGTAGAGATAAAGTAGAGCTGCTTGTATAATGAGACTTTGTGCCCTTTGGGTGGTAACCTTGTTAGCCTGACCATTCAGAATGAACTCAGCATTTCCACCCTCATACCTTTGATTATGAAAGAATTGAAGCTTTTTCTGAAAATAGATAGAGCCCTTGAGTCAAAAAAGTAAAGGCCAGTGTGGAGGTGGCTCAAATCTGATTAATTTTAACAGTAAACAGTCTGGGACTAGTCAGACTGAGTATGGGTCTATGAGAAAATGTGTGGTCACATTATGTGATTTAACTGTGTATGTAGTGCACAGATTTGTGTGACTTTGTTCTTAGTTTTTGTGACGCTGTTAAGGCATTTTAGCCCCA